GATAAATCGTCGATGTCAGAATTCTCGCTATCGCTGGAATCGTTGTCAAGTTGAATGCGCTCACGCTCCATTGCATCATCGTCATCGTGTTTTCATCAGTTACCGTATCAGGACCTGTAAAACGATTATGAATCAGTTCGAAATTAGTGCCATTGTTTTATCTATTATTAATTATTACTCACAGAAAAAATTATTACCTGTTGTAGCAGCCTAAAATAATTTCTTATTTTTGCGCTACATCTCTAGCAGAATTTAAGCAAATAATGCCCATCCCTAGTCGGTACCGCTGCAATTTTGGTAGTACCGTGAATGCCGTTCGATGTGGTGGCGCAGGGTTGCCATTTATATTATTATTTAAATTTTTCTTTAAATGTTATTAATAACTTTCCTGAAGTTTCCTTATTTCGAGCACAGTTTGGTGTGTATTTACTTTTTGTCGTCAGAAGATAATCTCTGGCAGAATTTTAACGTTTTATTCGGATTTTTCGACACTTCCATTTCGACCACTGGTGAGAAGTCCCAGGGTGGTTTTCACCTTCCCAGAGAAGTTTTTTTGTACATCGTTTGTGGCGGAGAATAGCCCTGCGAGTATGTCCCTTACCAACTCAAGGGGAAGATTTGACTTTTTGGAGTAATTTTTTGGACGAGTTTTTTTAAGAAGATTTAGCAGTAGTTTTTTTGAGCCGAAGTTTTGAGCAGTTTTTGGTTTTTATGAATGGTTCCGTGAAGGTTTCCTGTTGGAGGCTGGTGTGAAATTGACGAGTTTTTCCCCTTTTCTGCAAATTTACTAAATAGCCTAGCTTTGAGCATCAATTAAAACGAAAATAATATTTGCTATGAGAGATTCAGAATTTTATAACTATTTAAAATATATTTAACCAACATCAACACATTTAAACTATATCTAATAACAATAAAAACTAAATAGCAAACCAAGACTAGGGTTCCCAACTTGAGCATCGGCGATTCAGGGACAATTATTTTTAAGTTTTTAATTAATTGAAACAAAATATTAAATATTAGAAATTCAAATATATTATATGTAAATGTGATTTTTGGTCCCCGGCCAAGGCAAAATTTTCGCCGGGACAAACTTTCTGATTCCTGGTTAATCCCGGTCAAACCGGGACGGTTGGGAACCCTAACCAAGACATGAGATTTTGCTACAGGTGTTCGACATATCGACCGTCTTCTGTTATGGACAGACGGGGCAGTTTTGAACATTTCTCGCGGAATTCATTAACTCAGTGGGGGTGAAAGATACTCTCTCATAACTGCTAAGTATTTCTAATTCTTGTCTAGATTATAAGGAAGAATAAGGAACCTTGGTTAGCTATTCAATTATTGTTGAAATTGGATGCAAAAATTTGCTGATAACTTCAGCGCTCAGAGGCGATTGTCTTGCTGGAAAAATATGTTTTCGAGTTCCATTAAGGGCATATCATCAATAAGGGGTCCAAAGCCTACTAGTTAAAAGTGGCGAACTTTTAAAAATTCTGTATTTCGAAGGGAATTATAACAAAATATCAAGTGTGCTATATTTTTGGAAAGGTAATTTTAAATTCTTTTCAGTTAATTAAAAATATAGAGGGTGTCCCAAATAAAAAATAAATTTTTCTGTTGATAACTCTTAAATTATTAATTTAAAAAAAATTATACTTAAACCATTAAATTCTACGTAAAAAGGTGCTTTGGAAATGTTTTCATAGAAATAGAAAATTTTCCATAGGAAAAAAGTTACAGCGATTTGTTAAAAATGCACATTTTTGAAAAACACCCCGTAACTCCGAAACGGTAACAGATATTGATGTACGGTTTTCACCATCATGTTTTTGATAAAAATTGAGCTCCAGATACCGATATTAGTTTTCGTCTATCTCCTATAGAAAAGGATGTTTCCATTTAAAAGCGTCGAATTTGACCCACCCTGTACATAGTTTTTTATTAAATTTTCTTGTTTTAATTTGAGATATATCATTACTGAACATTTTTAGCCTGTGGTAATTTTCTTAATTTTTTAAATATCACCTTAACTTGGCTTAAATTAAGTGGTACCAAATACAATATGGAAAAATAATTAAATGAACCTACACCTATTGTTCACCAGACGAAAAGCAGCCGTACGCTGCGGTTTTCCTTTTAATTTTTACCATCTGTTTTTATAATTTTTCCTAACCTTTTAAAAAGTCGCCGCACTGTGTCATCGGTTTCAGCAGTTTCATTGATAAGTATATCGCTGATTGAAGTTGGTAACTGATCACCGTCAAACCATACCAACTCCAGCTTATTATCTAGTTCTTTCAATCCACAATCTGTAGGAGATAGCAACGTTGGGTATGGGAAGTGTGCATTACACCACACACTGGAAATATAAATTGCCCTCAAAATTTGTTGTAACTCCACTTTGCACGGGGGTAATATATAGCCATCAAAATTAGCCACGATGGAAAATTGTAAATGCGTCGTATTCGTGTAGTTGTAAATATAGTAAAACAACGATAATGCAGATTGTTTACATTTAAAAAAAAGATAAAAATTCCATCAAAGCCAGCCAAGATATATATGGATAATGCCGATATAATGCGGATAATGCTGAGAACAGGGTCTAATTCGTTAATACCATCAAATAAATAATAAAATTACAAAACACGTACACTGAACGAAATTATCTAAATTTTTAATAAACCTAAATAATAATTTTGTAGAAATGAAAAATGTATATAACTATTGATGTAAATGATTCAGAACGCGCGCATACCTGCGTATATAAGCACTCAATATAGGTATATAACGCATTGAGAACCACATTGAGAGCCTTTAGATTTAGAATTTGGAAGCCTAGAATATTGAATATATAAAGGTGTGTCCGCTCAACAACTTTGCTCCTACCAAAGCCAGGTCCCATCAAATGACTGGCAGGGTATGTTTTTTAGTTATCGTAATTATTAATGAAATGGCTAAAAAAATTTCTACTTTTATAATTTGTATCAATGGATAATTTTTTTTCGCATAAATAAAATTATGGTAGGAGTGTATAGGTCTACCGAAAAAGTGGCAGGATGTCGTTTTATATCGTATTTAAATGTTATTAAAAAATTGATAAAGTTTCTATTTTTATTATTTTTAACAAACTTTTTCTTAACATAAGTAACATATCGCGGTCAATCAGTGTCCCGCTGGTACCCCTGCAGGAATCGAGTTTAGGTTTCGACAGCTTTGAAATGATACAAAAAAAGTAAAACTAATCGTTATGAAATCTTACATAATTTAGTGTCGCCACCTCCCGTACTTATAGGCCACAAAAAAACTTTGTTTAGAATGAAATTTCATAAAATAATTCACCATATTATTCATACTCAGCAGTGGCGGATAGGGAAGGTGCCCACGGGGCCAAGGTCCCCCCTAAAATCTATAAATTGGGTTAAATATTAAGCTTTTGGGTCAAAATGGCGCTCTAAAAAGCATATTCTACGTTACTTTTTATTTGGGCCCCCCTAAAATATATTCTGGCCCCCCCTAAAATAAATTCCTGTATCCGCCCCTGATACTGAGATCACATGAAAGAAAATACCAACATGTTTATCGCATATATTTTATTGGGAACATCGACAAAATCAGACAAATAAACCGTATACGAACGACACACTAGAACTCATTACAGAGATTACAGATTTCAGTAATTACAGCATTTTGCATATTACTTCTTTTGACAATCTGGCAACACAGGGCGTCAAAGGAGCTGAAAAACCTCCTAAAAAAACTGTAGCCGGTTATCGCCAGCGGCTCTCAAAATGTTTTTTTTAATTTTCAAAGTTAAATAACTCGGTTATTTTTAATCTATTTTAAAAATGGTAAACATGTTTTCTTTGACCAAATCTACCACCACTTAAAATATCTGCACTTATTTCTGGGACACCTTGTATAATAAAGTTAAAACTCTATTATACAAGGTGTCCCAGTTTTATCTTAATAATTTATATTCTTACTAGTTAAAGCCTGGTGCATCCGCCACGACATCAAGAAAAAAATACTTTTTATTTTTATTTTTTAATTAAATGAAAAACAAAAAATCCGGCGACGACAGTTTTTAGAAGAGCCAATTAGCTATCTTTTAGTAAAAAAAAGCAACTTTCTAGAGCAAGTCGTTACTTCAGTAGAGACGACACAGATAAAAATTAGCATTTTATATATGTAGATATTAATAAACTAGAATATACATCATCAAAATGTTTTGTAATAAAAGTAATAAAATAAATACGAACTTATTGTTCAGGTCCCTCTGTGACGTCGCGATTTAGAACAAAGATTTGCTGGGAATAGTGGGAATGAACCTGTGGAACCTTGTCTGTGTGGAATGAACAATCCTTTCTTCGGCCTTGACCAGTGTTGCCAGATATTATTTTAGCTGGTCGCCACTAGAGGTGGCGAAAGTCGCCAAAATAAAATAAAAGTCGCCAAATATTTTTATACTAAACCTACAAAAATCTCAAGCAACTATTTCATTATAAAGATTATACCTATCACAATTCAAAATATGACTAATATTTTAAGTGGTTTGATGACGTCACAAAGGGGAAAAATGGCAGATTGGAAGAGAGAAACGTGCTGAGAACATACTGAGAACCTTACTGAGAACTAAACTGAAGTCACAAACGCCAGTTGATAGATGAGCAATATAAATCGATATCTTCGGATATTGATTTAATAGTAGATTATTTTCTTTTATCTATGGATATTGATCTACTAATATGTAATTGCGATTTTTGCCGTTTCGGGAATCGATGTCTATAATAATTACAAGAATTAAGTCAATATTGGGAATGCATTGATTGACTGGTGCCATAAGTATCTTAGCCAAAATCGCCCAAATGGCGACTTGCGATTTTCCAAAAATTCAGGTCGCCAGAGATAAATCGCCCAATCTGGTAACACTGGCCTTGACAACAGCGCCGCAGCGAACTGACGACTTGTATCGCATATCGCCTGCATATCGCATTTGTCATGCGTCAAACGCAGCGTCATCGACAGCCGACGGCCGACGCCGACCGATCGTCAACGTGGATCGTGAAGAACAGAAATATCCGCTGCGATCTCTTGCCAACATGGCTGCGATTCGCCATTCAGACGCATTCAGTAGTCGCCATTCTGTTTTTTAGTGCCGAATTCAGTTAAATTTCAGTCGCAATCGTAGTTGTAACGTGTTTTTGCAATGGCATGTGAACCATTTACCGGCGAGCAAGACCGAAAATTAGTAGAATTGGTTGAAGTGAACCCGTGTCTGTACCAATTAGACCATCCGTCACACAAAGATGTAGAAATGAAGATGCAAACTTGGGAAACAATAGCAGAAGAGATCGGAAAATCGGGTAAGCCAACTTTTTTAATCCTAAAATGTAAAGGACAATAATTATTTTGACTTGGATGCGATAAATTTTTAAATCGCTAGACGGAAGCGACATGTTGAAAGTCCAAATTGCGACAGATTGCGACCATAGTCAGAGCCATAGTTGAACACAAACAATAACAACTTGTCTTCCACATGACGATTATGGCGCGTATTTTTATTTATATTAAAGCGGTATTTTACCAAATAGTTACCATATTTTTTGAAGAAAAAAAAACTAAAAACATGGAAGAATATTCTTAAAATAATTATAAGTTTTTTAATAACAGCAAAATAACAGTAAGGTACTTCCTGGTGGCGGTATTGCCAGATTGTCAATAATGTCCGTCTTATGCTGACGAAATAGGCTTATCCCTATGAATAAAAAATACGTATTTATGCATTAAACATTTATTAGTGTTAAAAATAGCCTGCACATTCTACCGTATGATCGAAAAAAAAACGGCGTCAGCGATGGCTATGAAATGAAGATCGCTGATTTTTTATGTAAAATTATATGGGGAATGTCATCAATCATCATTTCTAAGCCAACTGGACGGCGTTTTTTTCGATCATGCTGTATATCAAAACATTATTTTCTACTCTTCAGGATCTATACGTATTTTATCTATATAGGTGCGCACAATAAAACAAAAAAGCTATGCAAATTCTTGATTAAAATGAGCTTAAAACAATAATAAGACTAAATTTATTATATTAAATACAGGGTGATGTGTGTGACTTAAATAGCTTATATTAGAGTTTAGTCTGAGTATTTTTTGTGGCGTCGCTAAATCGTGATCTATAAAATGCTGTATCTGAAATATTTTTTTATGCAAGACCCTTTTCTAAAAAAAAACTTTTTTAGAAAAGTTTACCAACCCGTATGAAGTTTTTTTTTCATAAAATACGTCCAAGAATCCCCTCTTTAATATTAGCATGTAAATAAGAAACACCCTGTATAATTAACAAAACAACGAAAATTATTTAATGTAAAAGGAATTTTAACGTTGATGAAGGAATTTTAACGTTGCTTCTTCATAATGGTGTTTAATAATTTGTTTACATGATGAAATACAACAAAACAGACATATTAAAAAGCAAGGTAATAAAATAAACAAAAAAATAAAAAAATATTTAAATGTCAACCTCACTTCTTTAATATTGACACTTCTTTTTTTTGCTTGTCAATTTGCGTGTGCCAATGAAAATTTGGGTGCGAGAAGTTTACTTGTCGCACTCAAATCGACATTAAATTTGCTCAACACTAGTGTGGTAATTGTGAAGTGGGCAATTAGCGTTTTTTTCGACTCCAAAAGAATGCGAAAAGATATACTTTCCCAGCATGAGTAATAAAAAAGACCATTCAACACTGGTGTCTACTGTTTACATATACAGATTCTTCTTCTCCATCTTACTTTTTCTGTTTTTTATCTCTGAAGTGAGTCGAATTATTTATTATTTAATGGTTGTAGTAGTAAAGAAGTTATAATTCTTATGGGGAAATAGCATCATAAAAGAAATTACACACTTTTTTAACCGTCCAAGATAAAGACTACTTGACTATAAAACGTTCTGATTTAAATATTATACAATGGTGTGGATCCGGTGGCTGACCTTGAAACGAGTTTCTGCTGCATATAGTCACAGATACTACGCATGCGCACATCGTCGATGTTGCCAGATTGCAGGTTATTTTGGAATTATTTTCAGAAGAAAACAAATATTGTATTTTTCAGCGTTTTTTGTCAATGTATACCGTATGATCGAAAAAAAACGGCATCCAGTTGGCTGCGAAATGAGGATCGATGACATTTTCCATATAAAATGACAACGATCTTCATTTCATAGTCATCGCTGACGCCACTTTTTTCGATCATACGATATTATTTTGGTATTATTTTAATATTCACACAATACGTGAACGCTTATTATGTATTTTCATAGTCAATAAAATTAAATAGAAATAAAACTCTAATCTAATTGCTCTAGATTTATTATACTACGTTTAAAAAGTGCTTTATTAAAAATTCGCAAAATTAAGGGATGTGTCCAAGTTTCTTCTTTTTTTGAATTTTTAAATGCTGTAGCACCATATCATGTTCATAATAGATTTTATAACATTCCATTAAAACTACGTAGGCCTTAAAAAGGTCTCCGTAATTATAACTGTAGAGTGAGCAGCAGGCGGATGAAACTGCCATTTGAATTTTGGAAACACGGCGGAGTTTCTGCCAGTAGAGGGATAGATGGCGCTGCGTAGAAATTTCATCTAAAGTCCCTAGATATTCATCTAGGGACTTTAATTTCATCATGATTTTATCAAGTCATCCACAGAGTATAGTTTAATTAACAATTCGTTTGATTCTCTGTGGAGTAATTGGAGTAGTTGGAGTAGTTGAAAAATATAAATATTTATATAAAATGTTGATAATTTAACAGTGATGTGCTTTGTTACCCTATGAATAAACATTTACCAAACATTGATATGAAGTTGCTTTCGCCAGAAACAATTATAATTAAATAATTTAATAAAAATTTAATTTCTAAGTGACCCGGATCAGTTAGATCAGTAAAATAAATTGAAAAATAAACGTCATTCCATATTTGGCAATGTCTGTCAGTTTCTGTGAAGTGGAAGTGAATTGTGATTTGTTTTTATGGGAATATTTTACGGATTTTTGCGAATTTAGAGTATTTTGGACGATAGGATTGTGAAATTTAAAAGCCAAGTAGTTTAATATATAAGATTAATTAATCCCTGTGATAATTTTTATGAAATTTCTCATAATCAAAACAAATTCTTTCAACAAAATGGCTGTCTCAGAAATTTGGAAGATCATTAATTTTAAAGTTTTATTTAAGTGTATTTATATCGAATCAAGAATTTGTATAACATATTAAAAGCTTAATTTTAAAGGTTGTGCAGTAATTTATGTAAGTGTACGCTTTTAGATAAATATTAAATATACAAATTTGCAAAGACAAACAAGTAATTTTAAAAAGATCATTTATTTATTTAAACGAGTATAATCATTAATCATTAGGTTGAAAATATATTTGTATTTACTTATTTATATATTTTCTATACCCTTGTATTATTTATAAGCCCTATATGTCCTGTTTTATTTGAAAAAAAAATGCTTCGAGTCATCGAGAATAGATTTAATAACAATTTTGTCCCTTGGCTTTGTGTATTATATAATGTGAATTGTAAGATGTTTCTATTTGAATAGGTCATTAAAGTTGAGATTAAAGTTATACCAAATTATATTCACGGTAACTATATGTCTTTTATATAATGAATTATTTATTTATAATTTATAACCTTTTTTATAATTACTTATAACTGATTGTATAAATTCTGATAACTTTTATATATACTTGTATAGTGTTGAATGTGTTATATGTAATTTTATTAACAATGTTATAATAAAATAATCAAGTTACAAATTTTTCGTGTTTTATTCTAATTTCAGGGATAATTTCAACCTAGATTATTAATTTATTTGTATCAAAACACATTATTTTTATTTTGTAAAATGTTTTGTTACAAATAAGTTCATAATCTAGATTGAAATTACCAAATATAAGTAAAAAACTTATGAACTGGCAATAAAGGTCCATTTAAAAATATGGCGCGAACTTTTAGTTCTGCCAGTAGCCCGCTTGGATCGCGTCGAGCGCGTGTTTCCAGGCTTTAACATAGGAGTTTTCATTTCTTTCAGTTAGTTATTCTATGGTGAGCAGTATTAATAGGTATCTTATTTTGTATCTGCTTATATTGCATTAATTTTTCTGTAACAAGATTTTTTTATCTTACACCTAATTTATGTGATTTTCTTATTAGCATATAATATGATCTATAAACAATATTTTTCCTAATGGAAAGGATTTGCAGGTATTAAGATATCTTATCATTTATTCTCCACACCACAAAGTATAATATGTAGTAGAGGTATTAAGACATAAAAAAATTATAAGAAATATCTTAATATAAATCACAAACTAACTTAAGTTTTAAGTTAGTCTAATAAGATCAGAAATGAATCTTCACCATATTATCAAGATATTGGTATTATATAGGAAAGAAATTACAGTAAATTAAGAAAAGAATATACAGGATATTAAGTACACACAGTAACAGAAAAACAGTAACAGAAAAAGATAAAGCATAAAACTTATTTTAATCCTATCAGCATTCTTCGATAAAATATATACCTACAATGGCTGCAATAAATGTGTCATATTGATGATACAAAATAATTCTAATAGGTTTAAAACTAATAAGAAAAAATCCGTAAATGATAATTTTTAATTATAATGTAAATATATAAATAAATATATTATTATTACATTATTATATATTACTTAGAACTCCGATTACAATTATAATACCTTAACTTCACAATCTCCATTATCCTTCTTACCTTAATTTTTGATATCAAGATAAATCTGAAATTATAAAATTAATTGTAGAATTTGAAATATTATTATTACTGATTAACAGTCAAAAAACATTTGTTTTTGACTAAACATAATTCGAAAATAAACTGCAATGTGGCAACATCGACGATGTGCGCTTGCGTAGAATCGATGATCAAATGCAGCAAATATGGGTTTCAAGGTCAGCCACCGGATCCACACCTTTACCAAAATATTTTATATTCTGCATTGCTTCATTAATTAAAATTGATATTTGACGTATTGCAACAATTTTTGACTCAAAATCTGCTCATTATTATCAAATTACTGCTCATTACTAATAAATCTGTTGTTTACGATACTGTCTCTTGTAGGTTAATTTCCAGTATCTTAGACAAAATTAGTCAAAGTGATCAAAGGAAAGCCATTGTACCCAGCAAAATAAAATACTAATTCACCGCAATACACCAAAACACTTTACTTTTGCACTGGACGCGCGTTTCGCTAACTATGTTAGCATCATCAATAGATGATTAAAAAACTAGCACCGTTGATTTT